CAAACGAACAAGAGCTTATGTTAGTTAGTTATCTTAAAAAATCAGCTGCTCTGCATTACGGCCTTACAAAAAAAGACACACTTAAACTAGCCTTCCAGTATGCGAAAGGCTTGGCAGAGCAGGAAAATAACAAAATCAAAGTTCCAAAAGAATGGATTACCGCAGAATCTGCTGGAGAGTTCTGGTTACGTGGCTTTAGGAAACGCCACCCTACCCTAAGCTTACGTAAACCCGAGCCTACGAGCCTTGCAAGAGCAACAAGCTTTAACAAAGACAACGTGAACAAATTTTTCGATCAATTACAGCTAGTCATAGAAAGACATCAGTTTCAAGCAAACGAGATCTACAATCTTGATGAAACAGGTAATTCAACAGTCCATGTGCCTCCTAAAATTCTATGTACAAAAGGAACAAAACAGGTTGGTTCTGTCACTTCAGGGGAAAGAGGAATTAATATAACGATGATAGCATGTGTCAATGCTATTGGGAACAGCGTTCCACCAATGCTCATTTATCCTCGTGTTAATTTTAAACAACATATGCTCATTGGGGCCCCAAATGGTGCAATTGGTGGTGCAAATCCAAGTGGGTGGTCCAATGAAGTGTTATTTGTTGATTTCTTGAAGCACTTCATCAGGCATGTGAAACCTACTCGAGACAAACCTGTCTTGCTTATTTTAGACAACCATGAATCTCACATCTCGATTGAAGCTTTAAATTTAGCGAAGGAAAACGGCGTGGTGATGTTAACCTTCCCACCCCATACCTCACACAAGCTTCAGCCGTTAGACCGAACTGTGTTTGGCCCGTATAAAACATACTACAGCAGTACCATGAGTGGTTGGATGTTATCTAATCCTGGAAAACCTATCCAGATATATGATGTTGCTGGATTAATTGGCAGTGCTTACAACAAAGCATTTACAAAAGAAAATATTGAGAAAGGTTTTCAGGTGACAGGAATATTTCCATTTGAAAGAAACATTTTTACTGACAACGAGTTTCTTTCATCCTACGTAACTGATCGTGAACTGGTTCAGGAAAATACAAATGGTAGGCCTACAGACATTAAAAAGACTCAACGACGAAGAAATGACGTTGTGTTGGATTCTACCAGTCATTTTGAAGCGAGTGAGACTTTAGCCCAGCCTTCATCATCGTCTATCTGTCACCTACAGATCCCATCAACATCTAAAATCGTGACACCAGAAACGATTCGCCCGTTTCCAAAAGCCCAGATGAGAAAGAAGACCGTAAGAGGAAGAAAACCTGGAAGGTGCAGAATACTGACCGACACGCCAGAAAAAAAGGAGATTGAAGATAACAAAAATAAAAAGAAAAGAAGTTTTGTCACTCCTAAACAACTGTTTTCTGATAGGAAGAAGAACAAAAATAATCCCAAAAAGAAAAACAAAGACAAAATTATAGAGACCTCCAGTTCTGAGGATGAAGAAATGACTTTTTTGTCTGACGAAGAAGATTGTGATATATCCGTGCAAGAATTAATACAAGGAGTTTTGGAGGAAGAAATGGATATAGCCTTACAGGAGAAGATTGAATGTGAAGAAATAAAACAAGACGATTATGTTTTAGTTAAAATTGATGGCAAGAAGAAAACTGTTTATTATGTAGCAAAAGTCGTACAAAAAATAGACATTTTGTATGAAATTCAATATCTTGTTAAAACCGGAAGAAATACTTTTCTCTTAAGAAATGAAACTTTATATGAAATAGACGAGGGAGAAATCATATGCAAGTTGCCTTCGCCCTCAACCACAGGAACCTCGGAGCGTTTGAAGCAATCACTCAAGTTTCCTGTGAATTTCAGTGCATATGACATGCCCATGAACTAATTAGGTAAAAGTAGCCGTTATAAGAGATTTGCTCTAATGTTTTGTATTTTTATAGTCTTTATGTAAAAATTTTTGTTGCTCTAATATTTTGTATTTTTATGAGGATTACCTAAGATTTATTTCCGAAATTGATTTTTTTGTTCACTAATTTTTTTGTTGCTCTAATGCTTTGTATTTTTATGAGCATTACATAAGGTTTATTTGCTTAATTGACTGTTATTGTCCAATAATGTTTTTATAGCTTTAATGTTATGTATTTTTATATGCATTACATAAGATTTATTTGCTTTATTGATTTTTTCCCTTTCACTCCTTTACTTAGTCCTAAGGTACAACACCCTGTATCCCAAGGTACAACACCGTGATGTACCTTGGGATACTTAGCAAGGGTGAAGAAAATATTTTTTTACTCCCTTGTTAATTGACATATTTTATATTTTAAAACATTAATAAATTCCCTAAAACATGGACTTTAAGTCAGTATTAATAAAACTATTATAAAGTTTGCCCAAGTAATAATAAAAATCTTTGTTTCAAAACCGTCCCAAGGTACAACGCTTTCCCCTATATATATAATATATATATAATATATATATATATATATATATATATATATATATATATATATATATATATTCGGTTTTATAACGTCTTACGACGTTGTCCGACTCCCAAACGCCACTGTATTCTGTCTTGAGTTAGGTCTTCGTCCAGATTTCGAGCGCTAATCGCTTTCCTAACTCCCAGGTTCCAGCTCTGTGGTGGTCTTCCTCGTTTCCTCTTCTCTGGGGGTTGCCACATCATCGTTTTTTTAGGCAATCTTTCGTCCCCCATTCGGCTCACATGCCCATACCATATGAGCTGTTTTCTCTCAATATCCTCAACTATAGTGCCCTCTATACCCATTTGTTGTTTTATCACTTCATTCCGTATTCTGTCGGCTCTTGATATTCTCATCGATCTTCTGATGGCATCCATTTCCGTGGCTTCGACCTTTTTCTTATATTTCTCGGTTATTCTTCATGTCCCAGCTCCATAAAGTAGGCTAGTTTTAACCATTGTCTCATAGATGTTCCATTTTCTTTTCTTTGCTCAGCTCCAATTGAGGGGTAATTTGTCTTTTCTAAAATGATATTTAATCTTCATTTCTGGTATTATTCAATTGGTTTTCTAAGCATGTATTTCATGTCGTCTTTGTCATTTGAGATCACCACCTGATCATCTGCAAACTGTAAAGTATATATATATATATATATATGTATATATATATATATATATTTATATATATATATATATATGTAATCCTGATCGTTCAATTGCATACCCATTCCTTTGACTTTCCTTTTCCATTGTTTCAGAGCTGCAGAGATATAAATCTTAAATAGAATCGGAGAGATAGAACATCCTTGTCTGAGACCCTTAGTAACTGCAAATTTTTCAGCTAAGAGGTTTCCGAATTTCATTTGGGAGTTTGAACCATAATATAGATCTTTGAGAGCACTAACCAATGTTTGATGTATGTTTGATGTGTCCAGGACTTCCCATAGTTTATTTAGCGGGACTGTGTCATATGTCTTCTCAAGATCTACAAAAGTCATATGTAACTCTCTATTTGTCACAATTTTCTTTCTATAATTATTTATTTAATAAATTATTTAATAAAATTTTGATTGTTGATATTAAGAAAGATACAGGGTGGTGAAGTGGAAATTTTAAATTTTAAAATTCACAGAAAAATAATTCCTGCAGCTGGCTGTATACCACGTATCACAAAAAAGAGGTTAGATCTTTGTATATGGGTATATTTAAAAACCCTTAAAAGGGGTACATCAATTACACGAACGTTTTCGGAATAATAATTCCATCATCAGGTTTAAAATGCAAATTAACATGCCGTTTATTTGCATTGGACGTTTAATATTAAACATCCCATTTAATATTCACAGTAGTGACAGTGCAGTGATCAGTGAACCATGTAGTAGTGTCTGGGGCTCGGGAGACTGAGACCTCGGAAGCCCCTGAGGAAGACATCAGAGAGGATGTCGAAAGCTCGGCAAAATGGATATCGACGCGGTTCAACCCGGAAGACTGGTGAGAGTAATATTAATTTTTGTAATAGTATTAATCTTATCTCTAGGTTTCATATATATATATATATATATATATATATATATAATATATATATATATATATATATAATGGTAAGATGAACCTAATTCCAAAATTGTATGCAATTCGGTTCACAGTAAAAAAATTCGGAGCAATAATGCTTCAATGCATCACTATAAAACAATATTGTAATTCAAATTTTTAATTTAAATGTATAGAAATCTACAAATAATATAATAGCATAATAGTAATAAGTTTATGTGGTCACCATATAAAGGAGTATTTAAAGTATACTAACAGTAACCATTCCTCCATTTGATATGTGCTTCTACATGAGTCTATATTCGTTGCTGAAACTTTAAACAACATCTGCAGATAAAGGATGCTAACCCAAAATAAAGAATTTTCTATATTACGAGCGTCATCTAGTAAATTTTCTAAGGAACTTTATTATATATAATTATTCTTACCTGTCATCATTAACTTCCATTTTATATTTTCTGATAAAACTAGCTAACCATTCCATCGTGACGTATACTTCACTACCAGGAAAAATGGGAGGTCTGTTTGTCATATTATTGAATGGAAATGAACAATTTATACGTAAAGCTTCTGCCCTAAAAAATATCATTAAAATTAATGCAGCAAAGGATAGAAGTTAGAGGAAAAGGATATATGAACTGCTAACTGCAAAAAGGAGACTTCCAACAAATTTTCATAAATTTACTTTATGTTATTATTGCGTTCTTTACACGTAAACACATCGTTTTCAACAAACAGGGACTTCTGTGTCTATTCTAAGTATATTAAAAATGGCGGCTAAAATTTCTTTAACTGCAAAAAGGGGACTTTTACAGCAGAAGTTTCCTTTTTGCAGTTAACACACAGCCCGCAGTGTGGTGCTGCGCTCGTGTCGGCGCATGTTTTCTCTTCAATACCAGCACGACTACCAGTAGACAACAGCGGTGTCCGCGGTAGTTCGACTTGAATTATTTATAAGAGAGGTGTTGTTGTATCATATCTCTAACTTTGTTTGCAATGGCTCGTAGCAATGCTAGTAGTGATAGTGATTCGGATACACCTTGCATAAGAAAAAAGGGTGTTGTGAATTCTTATAAATATGCACGAAATAAATATCGTGATGCAAGAGTTCGCGGCGTTTCTTTTGTCAATGCAGCCGGAAAGGAGATACTAGCTCGTGTTCCCGCCTTAGAATGTGGGCAAGTAGCAGTTTTAGCCATACCACTCTTCAATTCATTGTGCTTTTATTTTGTAACTTAATGTAATAATCATTCGCATTGCATTTGGCTGACATTCTAACACAATTTACTAAGATTATTTAAGTTATGTTAATCTGTCAATTATTTTAAGTTGTTTTAATATCTGCCTCATTTATTTCAGATGTAAGTTGAAGTGTTTGTCTCACTGGAATGCTGAGGAGAAGACCACGCTTCTCTCCACATTCAACAACTTATCCAATAAAGATGAACAGGATGTTTTCTTGCAAGGCCTTATGGATTGTGCTGTCCCTAAGCGGCGATTACCCGCTGATAAAAACAAAAAGCCTAAATCCAAGACAGTGACGTACAATTTACTTCTCAATGGCAGTAGAGTTGCTATTTGTAAAAAAGGATTTTTGGCGAGCTTTGGAATCACAAAGAAAAGATGTGAGCGGTTATCTAATCTGCTTCATAAACAGCAAACTCCTCGTGATCGACGCGGGAAAAGTAGCAGTTATAATAAAATACCAACTGAACTACTTTCGGAAGTACATAAACACATTGCTTCGTACCCCACTAAAACAGCTCATTATACTTCTCACGAAATGCAATATCTTGATTCCACACTTAATGTGCAGAAAATGTACGACATGTACAAAGTTAAACACGCTGATCATAAAATTAGTTACGAATCTTTTTGGAGATACTTTAAAGAAAATTTTGATCTCAAATTCGGCCAACTCAGCAGGATACATGTGTAACTTGTGAAGAGTTATCACTAAAAATTAAAAATAAATGTTTAAATGACAACGCAAAAAGAGTGGCTGTTGCTGAGTTGCTAGTTCATAAGCGAAGGAGCAAAAAATGGTCTGCTATGTTTACCACGAAGGAGAGGGTGGCAAAGGCCCGAACGAGGTTTTGAGTCTTTTGAGTAATTATATTGAGACATACATTTTATGTGACCCTCGTAAAAAATTTTTGCTGATAACTGCGCTAGTCAAAATAAAAACCATCCTATTGCAAGGTTTATCATGACGCTTGTTGAACTAGGTAAATTTGACAGCGTTGAATTGCTCTATCCGATTAGGGTCACTCATACATGCCGTGTGAATCGAGATTTTGCCTTGATCAAGAGAAAGCTAAAGAAAATTGACAGGCTGTATCTGATAGAAGAAATTCATAATGTGATAATGAGTGCTTCTAAAAACCCGTCAAAATTTCGAGTACACCTGCTGAGACACGATGCTTTTCTCGACTTCAGTAATTGGTGGCCACGTTATTATAAAAAAACGTGTCTTAGTAACTCATCCTGTGGAATAAAAGATCCCAAGGAAAGAAAAATAAGATTTCAAATTTCAACTTACCATCACATGAAATGCAATAGAGCGGAACCTGGCATCCTCACATGCAGTGAGTTCATTAATGGTGCCATATCTGAGAAGTTTAACCTTCGAAAAGTAACCGAAGAAGTGATAGTTTTGATAGTGATACTTTTGCCTTACGCGAGCTTACTCTGAAAAACGCCCATTAATGGTATCCAAGGTTGAAGACATTAAAAAATGCTAAGATTCATCGACAATGACGATATCCCATTTTGGAGGGAAACCTTAGACCATAAAAACTGATAGACGCGCCGTAATGCTATTCTCTCGTCTCGAAGAGTGAAGCCAACATAAAACGATTCACACAGCTGTGGGTGACGTCAGTTTGCGGCAGAAACGGTAGAGATTAGAAGTGTTTATACGCGTTGTAAACTTTTTAAAGTGTTCCAATTTAAAAATTTTCCAATACATTAATATTTTAGTTATGGTGGCATCTTGCAGTGCATTTAATTGTACGCAGCGACAAAAAAAGGGACAGATATATCATTTCATGGGTAAGTAAATTCACAAATTAAACTTGAAAAACATACCAGAAATTTAGCACCTATTATTTTACTTTTTCCTCCCAAAGTGTTTGAAATAGAAACATATGAGAGAGAGAAAGTCTTATATATAATTTTCATTTTATAATTAGATTGAAAACTAAAGGATTAAGTAAATAAATTGTTTTAGATTTCCTAAAGATTCATCATTGCAAAAAAATGGATTATAGCGATGCGCCGTGAAAAGTTTAAACCAACAAAGAGTTCTAAAATTTGCTCCAAACATTTCACAGCGGATTCGTATATTACTAGCGGTTGGAGTTAAAAAAAAACAACTAAAAAAAGATGCTGTACCCAGCATTTTCGATTTTCCAAACCATTTAATTAAGCAAGTTACAACTAGAAAATTTCCAAAAAAAAGAGAAACTGTTTCAGTCAAACCAACAGGATCTAAAAGGAAAATATAAATATAACGAGTGAATCTACCACCATAAAGACTCCAGTAGAAATTTCAGACGAAACTACCTTAGAACCTCCCTTGAAAAAGCGAAGACATTATCTTGGTGACTTTGAACAAGGATCATCTAACAGAGACCAGGGATATAAAGTAGTAGTAAACAAATTAATTCAAAAGAAAAACAAACAAATCAAAATGTTGCAACAACGAAATAGAAGGCTTATTAAAAAAGTAAATACCTTAAAATCATTATTAGAACATCTTAAAGAAAAACAGATGATCGACGAAGATTCCTCTCTTTCTTTCGGTAAGGAAAATTAATAATACTTCTTATTAGTGATCTATTTAGCTTTGACATGTATAACAGTTTATTATTTTATATTGTTTGTAGTTAGTCGATCAAGTTTTGATTATTGCTTTTTATTTTATTAGGATACGACGCATTCTTCTGCAAAAATTATCTTTAAGCAGCTACTTAAATCTAAAAGCACTAAAACATATCCACCGGAGTTAAAAAGCTTTGCTCTCACTCTTAATTTCTATTCACCAAAAGCTTACTTGTATGTCAGAAAAACTTTTCCTAACATGTTGCCTCATCCACGAACTCTTCAAAGTGGTATCAAGTAGTAGCTTGTGAGCCTGGATTTCAAAAAGAAGCAGTGAATGTATTAAAACAAAAAGTAGTTGAACTTAGAAATAAAGGAAAATCATGTATCTGTGCTTTGATGGTCGATGAAATGTCTATACACCAGAAAATAGAATGGGATGGTGAAAAGTTTTTAGGGTAAGTGTAGCTTAATATTTATTAGCAATTAAAAAAAGTATCATAACATTATATTTTCTATTTAAATAATTGAAAACTTTAATTTTAGGTATGTTGACATAGGAAGTAAACCTCAAAGCGACTCTTCTGAAATTAAAGTAAAAGAAGCAATTGTATTCTTAATTAATAGTTTAAATGATTCATGGAAGCTGCCGATAGGCTACTTTTTAATCGCTGGGTTATCAGGTGTTCAAAAAAGTAATCTAATAAAAATGTGCTTAAAAATAATGCACGAAGCTGATGTCACAATTACCAGTTTAACGTTTGATGATGCAGCATCAAATATTAGCATGGTTAAACAACTTGGAGTTGATTTATCGATTAATTCCAATAAAGTATATTTTCTACATCCAGCAACAAATAAACCAATATATGTAATATTTGACCCTCCACATATGTTGAAACTTATTTGCAATACTTTAGGTTATTACAAAATTTTTTTTGACGGGAATAATAAAGCGATTAAATGGGAATATTTGCAAAAAGTAGTAGACATTCAAGAAAAGGAAGGCCTTTATCTTGCAACTAGGATAACGCGAAGGCATTTAAATTGGTATAAGGAAAAAATGAAAGTGAAATTAGCTGCCCAAACGTTCAGCCAAAAAGTTGCTAAGGCAATACATTATATAAGAAATAAAAGCTCAAACGAATTTGTACATAGCGAAGCTACTCAAAATTTCATTGAACATATCAATTGATCTTAAATGTCATGAGTAATGTGCATGGTTCTGTGTTTAACGCATACAAAGAACATATGTTTGATCATGATTTTGAAACAAACCATTTGTTTAATCTAATAAAGATAATTTGTTTCCATTATTGCAACATTAGATTGTACCACGAAGGTGAAAAACTAAATAATGTAATAAGAGTTAGAAGTAAGTTAACAAAAGCTATTTTGTTTTATGGTCAATAAATTAATAGATTTCTTACATATTTTTTTACCTAACCTGAAACTTCCACCCAAAAGAAAATTACTCTCCTTTAAATTTATTTTTGAATATCAAACAAGAAGAGATATACCAACGATATATATACTAATATATGTAGGTATGTACTTTCAAATAAAACATTTATTTTTACAATTTAAGGCAAAAATATTTATTAATTACTTTGCTAAATAATTTATCTTCCATATTTTTTACAAAATATTGAAGTTATATTAAAATTAATCTAAAATTGGGCAATTATACTAGTGCTTTGCTAAGAATCCAAGCGGGCTCTTGCCGCATTGTGACGTCACTTTCGCGGAAGGTCTTTGCTTCAACGGTTCGGTACAAGGCGTGTCTATCAGTTTTTATGGTCTAAGAGGGAAACAACAGAATGGCCCACTGTCCACCAGGTTGACAATTAATGCTATCGACTATTTTCTACTCCTAGTTTTTTACTTATAGAACTGGTACTTTATATTACTTGCTTATAATGGCAAATAAAGGTGTTTTCTGGCAAGTAGTGTTTATATTATTGAATTATTCCTCATAACTTTTATTTGAATTACAGTTAACTGCAAAAAGGGGACTTCTACACAACATTAAAATGTGAATATTATACAAAAATAATTAAAATTATTTACCACTTATTTGCATCATTGTATATAATAAAGTTATATTGAACATGTATACCAAGTTTCCTGATTTTAAGTGATTTGGTTATATAATTATTTAGTTTTTACGTTCTTCTGTAAAATTTACTTTTATGCAGATGTCCACTTTTTGCAGTTAGCAGTTCATATGCTTAAATTTAATAAATTCATAAAAATATCCTAACTCTTACAAAATTTACTGGGTATAAATCTACTTGGATTCGTTCTTGTTTAAAATATTGTTATCTCTTTTACGGTAATAATTTCTATATTAGGGCTGTTAATTGTCTACTTTAATTATTATTTAATACTTATTTATTATTAATAATAAAAGATTTTATTGCAATATCAGGTACGCCCAAAATTTTATTCGGAGAATTTGTATAAATAATTTCGATAAAAGACGAAGAAATATTGGATTTATACATTGTTTTATAAAAACATGCAGCTATATAAATGTTTATGCAAAATATGCTAGACACTTTGCATATATTCCGGTAATCATATATAAATTATTATAAATTACAAAAAATAAGAGAATATAATAATATAATGCAGTATGCTTCAGTACAAGCATTGATTATAAACCACTACCTAGATACCTCACTCTAAGGTAAAAACGAATTCAGTGTTAAACTCCGCCCACTTACACCTCTTTGCCCCTCACGCCTAAGTACTACCTGACTGTATGGTGGCGACATTCATTGAAATCTTTGCCAAGATTGAAAAATAAATTTGAGTTCCCTGGTCCGGCAATTCTCTAGTGCATTAGAGGACGATATAAGGATGGCATTCAGCATTTTCACAAGTAATTTTAACGTGCTTGTAATCTATATTATGAAATTAAGATTTTACTTCAGAAAAAACGCTAAAAATTGATTAATGAAAACAGTAAAGGTTTTCTAAAAATTATTTATTTATCAACACAATACAAAAAAATAACAAAATATAAAATACATAATAAAATTAGCAGTGATAAATTACATCTCATGTAAATTACTTTTTTGTAACTTTTCAAACAAATTAATTTC